TATACATAGGATAAGATTGCATACCTTGATGCATAATTTGGAAGTCATGTTGCATTGGATCATTATCAAAAGGCTGAGCTTGTAGGCTTGCTAAGGGCCTTGGAGGACCAGCAATCGATTCCTTGATCAGCACCATATCGTGCACATTTCGATATGCTTGCTGTTTAATATTTTCAACTAGAGCCTGTCAATTAAATGACGGAACTTATCAGTTTCTAATAATACAAAGAAACATTTCAAAGGCACAACATTGATGACAATAACTCTGAATGGTACCTTCTGGGATGGGGTGAAGGCATTCACAGGACAAAACTGTCCATTAAAGTTTGCTCCTTCAACCTTTAAGATTGAATTGAAGTAGATAATGACATCTTGTTCAGGTCTTTGGTAAGCGTATAGCTTGTTATCATTTACAAAACATATGGCGTGTTCTATAATCGCGTTCCAAGTCCTGTTTGAGATCCCATTTAGTATCTGCATTTCCATAGCCAAAAATAAAAATTTGATTATCATAACATAGATACTAGTTTAGATTCATTTTCACACTGAAAAGGATTCTTTTGCCTTACCAAATCACGCAGTGTGACGGGATCTCTTGTATGCATCTGCAGAAAGTCCTTCACGGTGTGAATTGCGTAGGAAGCCAACCTTTTATGGAATGCTCCGTCTTTCGCAATCTTTTCTAGCCTCCATACGTCATCATGCAGGAATGGAGGGTGATGTTTTTTGTACACTGAAGGAAACAGAGTTTTTTGTCAATGAAATCATGCCTATATAGACTGACATATATCATATATCAATAACTCGAGTTAAAGGTTTTAGAACTCACATTCCCCACGGTGATCTTTGACTACAAAGGCTTCACTTATAGCTTCCCTGATTCTCGTATCCGCAGAATTTTTTTGGACTACTCTAGCTCCCAATCTGAACTTTCTACTCCTAATCCAACTCGAGTTGTCGGTAAAGATGATATTCCCTAGGTAACCTACTCCCTCTCTCAAGGTTAGAGTAAGTTCACCAGTCAATAAGGGCCTTCTTCCTTCTCTTTCACGAAGGATGCTGTTGTTGAACTCTTTCTCGGTCCAGTCCTCCTGGTCATCTGAACCAAAGTCGCCATTAACGGCAACAATCTCGATCTTTATCGAAGAAAGAGGGGCCGATTTGATGACAGTATGGGAACTAGCATCCATTAGGATGACCTGAAGAGATGTCCCATCCTCAGTTTCTATTCGACCGCCTGTGAATATGGTTGCAGGCAACTTGTTCACAAAACGCAGCTGCAGCCCACTTCCTCCTCCTCGTCCTGATGGACATGCCTCATCAACTGAGTGGCTGCAATCAACAACAGAATCAGAATTGATTAGTATTACACCGCGGAAAAATAAATTTTTCATGCTCAAAGTAGTAGGGACTTGAGAAAACAACTACTTGAGTTTGAAGAACTAACCTTGAAGATGCGTTGAACAAGGAATGTATAGCACGTTCCACCTCATCTCGCACCTATAATATAAACACAAAACACAATAGAAGAATGAACTACAAAGGCTTGAAAATAGCCAAACTTCAGTAGAAAGTGACATGGTCCAAAAACAGAAATCTTTCAAACAAACAAAAAAAAATTCAAACAGAGAAACCAAGGAAAAGATGAAAAAGAGACAAAAGAACAGAACTTAGAAACAAAGAGAAGGAAAATATAAATTCTTTTAGGCCAAATGATCTTATTCTTACCACTCTTCGAAGAAAAGGCTCCCACACAGCTTCATTGAGTGAGAAATTCCTTGTTAAATGGTCTCCAACGACACTGCAACACAAAAAACGACAGAAACCCAACTTTTAGAAACTTAAAAAAAAAAAAAAAA